CTGGCCAAACCACTCCTTGGATCAGCCAATTTGGCCCAGGTCCAACAACACCCCAGCCAAATATAGGCTGGGAATCAGCTATTGCATCAGCGGTAGCTGCCCAGATAGGTCAACTCCATCAGGAGTTGAAAGATATGAAGCCCCTTGTAGGAGGGAGATGAGGGAGTGACAGCGGCTCCTCATCCAGGCCATCCAAACAGGCACAGTCTGACAACTCGAGGGCATCAGATGATGCCTGCAATAATTGCGCCCATTGGAGGCGCAAATACAATAGAGCACACAGAGATGCTGAAGGGATCCTTGCCTCTCTGAGAGATACAGAGAGAGAAATCAATCTCCAAAAGAGGGAGATTGAATTACTAAAATGTGAGCTCAAAGAGGCATGCGCACTGGCAGATCTCACTACCAAACCCATTATGATGGGGGCCTCCCAGGTCAGGGGAGGGGATACAGTGCCAGGGCATCGACTATCCCACCACCCTGTCAGCAGGCGACCCTGTCCAGGTTGCATAAGGGCCCACCCTCAGAAGGGCAAACCCATGTTGAGGGGAAGAGGGAGAGCAGTGGGCAACCGATGGCAGGCCACTGAGCACCTCAGCACCCTATGGGCAAGCTACCCTGCAGGGAAGTGTCCACATGTTATACAAGACCACTGAACTCAACAAGTTTGGCAAAGTGGAAGCACCCATTGACGTAACAATTGACCCCAACTTCCCCATGAGGAGAGTAGCAGGGTCAGAAGTGGTGCATGACACCACATACACTTGGTGGACAAGCATGAGTGGGAAAGAATTCATACATTGGTATGAACAGGCTTTAAAGACGGCAAGGTACATAGAGTCCTTCACGAAAAAGTGAAGGAAACTGAGAAATATTTCTTGGGACTCCCAAGTATTGCAAAACTTGCGGAGGAGTACAATTCCCTGGAGAACAGGGGAAAAATCTCCTGGGAGAGTCTAGGCAAAGCTGCCTATCTAAAGTCCCAGTTCAAACCACTCAGGACTCCTGAGGAATGTGCCGCAAAAGCTGCAGGGCAGGAAGTGAAAGCTTCCAAGTACCAAGAAAGAGATGCAAGTCTCCATGCTGAACAAATGAGCCAGCGACCACCCTTCCCCATGGGAAGAACGGTAAACTTACCGTATTCCACACCCGAGCCAAGTGGCTCAGGAACACAACAACCCGCTTCCACCCAGGAAGCGCCCACCTCGTCGACTCCACAGCTCGACACTGTAGCTCAGGCTACATCATTGCATCCAATGCAGCAATCAGATGTCCAGATGAACAACCCAGAGGAAAACCCTTCTCCAGGGCAATAACTCTACCCTTGAGGAAAGGGAAAGTGACATGGTAACATGCCATTGAGGTGCCTGTGAAAACACCTTCCCCCAACTCAAGGCCCCACACACAATATTGTATGCGAGGAACCACAAGTAACAATTGTGGAAATTTCTACTCCATCCAACCCACATCCACCACCGCTCATGTGTAAACACCATTTACACATGAATCCTCATGGAACAAGTGAGGAGGAATACCAAAGACATATAATCTTTGGGTTGAAATTTATTTTCAAAAAACTTCTTCTCTTTATCACTTCTCCCCTTCGCAATACCCATGTATTGCTGTTCACTTCAAAGTGACAGCCCCACACCCACTCATTCCCTCAATTTCTCTTGCCGACATGTACAAATCGTCCACTTTAAAGTGGCAATAACAAAACACTCATTGATATTTTCAAATTCAATGTAACTTCTTTTTTCTCTTTTCTTCATCATTAACCATGTATGCATTGCAAATGCAACACAAAGGGGGAGAATGTCAGGGCAATAGCCCTGAACCCCGAGCCATATGCAATTATGATGTACATATAGTCACGTGGGTAAGCGGAAACTTCTGGTTAACTGCTTACACACACTGTAATATACACACCATTGTATCACTTATGGCCTCATGTGCTGAGCATCCCCCACTGAGACCTCACAATTATGCTCCATCAGTGTGTGGTTGCCATGCACAGTCCAAAGCACCAGATTCCACCAATTGCATGAACTTCTGGATGGGTTCCTGTGGATGGTGAGTGTAGAGTTGTGACAAATAACCAAGAGACTCACAGAGTCAGGGCAGTGGGGAAATTGGACCCCCTTGATCATCCACAAGTATGAGGTGTGATTAACCACAGAGATGCATGGAAGGTCAAGATTGTGCAATGCCTAACTCAAACATCACCTATGATACTGTATATATCTATGAACATACAGGGATGCACCTTCTGTTGTTTTGTGGTGGGGTTGGGAGGAGGAGAGGTGGAATCATGGGTGTTTGGCAACATGAGCTCCAGTTCAGGCCAATGGTCAATGTCATTGAGGTCTGGGATATGAAACTCAGCAATAAACATGCCCTCTGTGGGCCCTTCATCTTCTGTCTCATTGCCCTCTGTGGCAGCCTTCTTCTGTGTATGTTTGGTCCCCTTCTTCTTTGAGCTCTCCTTTGACAGGGTGGTAATCTTTTGCTATTTGTTGGAACTGCTTGCAAGTCCCTTTGGCCCCTTCACCTGTCTGAGTCACCTATTGGAAACGTCAAGAAGCAAAAGTGATGATACTGCTATTGCCATAAATTGCACTTTTGTTCATAAACATTTGGCATTCTAAGGTCAGGGGCCTCCTTCAATTGAAATTATTGTATTATAGTGAAGTCATCCATACTATTGTTATTTTGTTATTTTGTGGTTATTGAACTCCAGACTCATTGTCTGTGCACATTGCCAGCTGCTGTCCAGAGGGGTGTCAAGACTGTTTCCCATGGCACTTTAGATAGTTGGATAGCCCCATTGAATAGCTTCCAGAATAGATAATTTAAGACTGAATTGACCAATAAATTATGGAGAAAAATGCAAAATACTTTTTTGGACACAAGTCTGCAAATCCAAACTCACTGTCTGTGCACAATGCTGGGCACTGTCCAGAGGGGTGTCAGGACTGTTTCCCACAGTGTCAACAGACTTTACACCAATGTATAGCCCATTTGAATAACTTCCAAAATATATAATTTGGGACTAAATTGACCAATAAACTATCAAGAAAAACAGAAAATACTTTTTTGGACACAAGTCTTTTTGGATAACTCAATGTTATAGGCTGAGCCAGGGTTATAGGGTTCTGTCACCTCAAGGGTTCTGTCAGTCAAATTTTGGGAGGTACTGCCAAATGGGACACAAACAGTCTGGCAGCAAAGTGAGGTGTCCAAGATGTTTGTGAACATTCTGGTAACATCTTGGTAACATCATTATTCCACCAGACTGTCCAAGGACAGTCTGAGAGAAATATATGAGGGTCAACTGGAATGTTTGTGAACATGTGTCATATCTGTGCATACCCAACCCTGATTTGACTCCCAGACCCCCCTCCATCACCTCCGGAGTCCTACCCTATTCCCATCTGCTCTGATCTCCACCTTTGGACCTGACACCACCTTCCTCTCCTTCTGACTCACTCCCAACCAACCTCTGCCAAGGTATGACCTCCTGCTCCCACCATTGCCAATATTCCTCAGACTTCCAACCCCACCTCTGTAAGCTCCACTACCTCCAAGCTTCATGGACCTACCTCAGCACTTTCACTGTCCATAGTGTATACTTTGCACTTCTCCTTATTTGGACTACTGCTTCTTTCCATTTAGCCAGTTAACTAGTCATCCACCCCACTTCCCCTCATCCTCCTGCCCCTCTGGGCCCTTGCCCTCTTTGGATGCACCATAGAGTCTAACCCTTGACCCTCAGTGTAGTCCCACATCCATACTTTCCTTTGTCTCCATTTGGACACCTTTGCTCTGTTTCAGACCCCCTTTGTTTCTCATGCTTCTGTCTCTCCATTATATACATATAGACGCTTGTACATACTCATTTGCCCCTCAGTCTAAAATCAACTAGATTTCTCCATAGAGACTTCCCCTTGCTGAATCCGAAATTAGGGACCCCCAGGACAACCAGCAATGGCACAGTGCTCCGCCTGAGTCACTGAGGCCAAGGTCCTTCCACAATAAGTGTCATATCCATACATACCCGATCCCAATTCAACTTCTGGACCCTCCTCTCCACCACCTCCAGAGTCCTACTCTATCCCTGTCCACTCTGATCTCCACCTTTGGACCTGACACCACCTTCTGACTCTCTTCCACCAACCTCTGCCAAGCTATGACCTCCTGCTTCCATCCTGTACCCTGAACTCAGACACTGCTCATACCTCCACTCCAAGATCCCATCTTGTCCCTGACCTTGGACTTTGACTCCACCTTGGCTTAAGTCCATTGCATTGGTGACCTCATTATAGGGGAAAACAGTGTCAGGGTTCCATCACTGCAAGGGTTCCACCATGTCACTTTAGGAAGGATCACCAGAATTTACACAAACAGTGTGGCAGGGAAGTGGGTTGTCAGTACAATTATTGAAACTAGACACATATATACAAGATTGATAGTGAACATTCTGGTGGATTCAAGGAATATTGAGACATAGGTCACCTACCCATGTAATGTCATGGTTGCCACCAGAATGTTATCAGCATTTGGGTATGCCAACCAGGTGAATGAGTCAGAATGGTAGGACTTGAGTAATGATGAGTAACAGTGAGGTGATTGATCTGATTGATCAATCGATCAGATGCTACAGCTCACCATCCACCATGGCTGGAAGCACAGCACTCCCCAATGTGAATATCCAAGGCTTTTCATGCCACATGGTGATCTCAGAGGACCTGAGACATTTGACATATGACAAGGCAATAGCAGTGTCCCATGCACTGTGTGAGAAAGCCTTCATTGGCATTTGTGAGCCTTCAGCTCACACCCAAAGTCCTCTCCAATCTTATCAATACCAGGCATAGCCTATTACTGATGTACCCCATAGTTTGGGCACCCAAATATAGCCTACAGTATAATCGTGGCTTTCCAATGGTACTAATAATTTTCCTCCAAGTCCTTACTTACATAATCCATAGGAAATGGAAATGTCCCCTGAATACCAAATTGACTCCCAAAAATACATCAGCAGTGCAGCCCTCCCTGAGGTAACCCTGGCCCAAGAACAAAGTTTCAACACAAGGAAGGATGATTCTTGGTTGGGGAAGGTCAAGGTATATTATATTTTTTTTTCTTTATTCCTCAAGGGATTTTGCTGATGCCCATGGCAATGCAGGTCAGGTTGTCCCAGATGGAGCAGCTCCCTGGCAACCAGGAGGTCCAACTGGAGTTTGTTAAAAAGTATTGTGAAGCATGGGGAATGACCATCACCTGTGACAGACACCCTCTGGCATTCTCACATCAGAGACAGGCAGTGTGAGGCTAGGGGCTTCAGAATTCTTGCCATCACACCTCAAGGTCTACCTGTGCCATGGTCAGCATAGGAAGTGGGTCCTTGAGAATGCTATCCAGTTGGCTTTGACCAAGGAAAAAATGGCAGAGACTGGAGAAGAGCATCCTGAAGCCCACAAGTGCCCACTCAAGGAAGTGCATCAGCATAAAGGTGCATTTTGGACAATGGATGTCTACCGAAATTGTAAGTTGTGCATCTTTCATCCTGGCCTCCACACAATAATTATTTACTGAAGCCTTAATGACCAATTCCATGTTTTTCACCTGGGTACTTCAAGATAATGCCCCTGTGGAAAAGGCTCCAAATCTGTTGCTTGATTATGTCAATGCCTATGGAACCTGTTGTGTGTAGTTGTTTCTATTTCTCCTTCATTTCTTATTCAGTCTGCACTCCATTTGTATCATGTGACTGCAGAGTCATCCTTTAACTGTTACTTCTACTGTCAGAGACCAGGTCAAGACGAAGGAATGTCTCTGTGGTGGAGGGCTTCAGCCTCAGCGACTTATGCCAGGAGTGCTGTGCCAAGTAACATGTCCGTGCCCTAACTTACTAAACTGGCAACCAGAACTGAAGGGGGGTAAACTCTAGTCGATTTTATTACTGAGGTGTAACCTATGTACAAGTTGAGTATATCTATAGTTACAACGAGGGCGGGTCCGCAATGGCGGAGCCGAGTGGAGTGGAGCTAATGGGGTTAGACATTAGCCGACTGAATATTACCGACGAGTTGGGTTATGGGGTTAACGGAAAGGTAGGCGATAACCCAGAAACGGAAAGGAGGGATAGGCCTGAAGGTGGGCTTTGCAGGGCAAGCAAGTGTATTGCCCAGCGGAGGTGGGGGTGCACTAGTGGACGTTGGAGCTGTCTGGAAGCCTTTGGGGCTCTGTACTTAGGGAGGCGTAGGTAATAAATTGAAAGGAGGGGGTGATGACCATCAAGGGGTACTGAGGGGATTGCGGAGTATGGGAGCTCCAAGGTTAGTGAAGAAGGAGCGGAGGTAGACCGGAGGGATTGGAGGGATCAGAAGTCGATGGCCAGGGATGGATATGACATCTACTTGGAATAACAACTCAGAGTGGCTATTGCTGAGTTATAATAGAACCTTTGTCAACAGCAACCAAGTCCCCACTGGCCTACAGAGGAGAGCATGGTGGTCAGGGATGCTTGGGAGTAACAATTCACTGGAGCCTTTGAGGCCTGTCCTTCATTCAATGGAGATGCTGAGGGTTATGACTCTCATGAGAAAGGTCAAATGGCTCACCCAATACACAAAGTCATCATTTATAAGGCATATGGGGGGGGGGGGGATGCAAAATGTAAGTTGAACATTTCCCCCTTTTCTCCTACTCTTCTTGCTCACTCAGTCACTTAGTTCTGGGTGGCTGCCTTTGAGATTTGTCTCTGGCACCCAGCCATACTTTGTTCTGATGGTCACATCCTTGGACCTGAGGATGACAACCAAATGTCCAGTAACTCATGAAAAGTGATAGATGCTCCATGGGCTCCATGGGATTTCATGGGATTTCATGAAATTTCATGGGATTCCATGGATTTCTGACAAATTACATGACTTTTACAGCCTCCCATGAGTGGTCGTGGGCTTCTGTGGATGTTCATGGACTCCCATGGGTGTTCATGGAATCCCATGGATATTCATGGACTCCTATGGGCATTCATGGACTCTCATGGGTGCCCATGGGTGCTCATGGACACCCATGGATGCTCATGAACTCCCAAAGGCCATTTATGTAACAGCTTCTATGTGCTGTTATTTTGCTCTGTTACAAGGATTTGACACTCAATGCTGCCACAGTGATGTGCAGATGGTCAGAGCAGAGGGGGGGTTTCCATTGTTCAATCAAGTGTGAAGCAAATATTGCCATAATTAATGATGAAAGTTACTGAAGATAGGCAGCACTGACATGTCTATATTCACCAATACTATATAAATTGTGCTGTGATCAAAACTGATGGAGATGTGTCAGGGCATGCCGCCGCCGCCACTGCCACCACCTCCTTTCCTTTCGTCTCATCGTCTCATTCTCTCCTCTTTTTCTATCTTTATACAGATGACCTCTCTCTTTCTTTCCTACACTTGTAGCACGGACGCGCCCGACGCTGAGCACCCCGTAGGGGCACCGCCACGCCGGATGCGCCGCGCACTCCTACTTGTACTTCCCCTCCAACACTCGGGATCGACCGCGGAGCCACCCGCGGTAACCCGGCTTTGTCCAAAGGTGACATGGCACTTCCACATGACCCATTCACACATGTATATAAACTAAGCTGAAGCAGGACTGAAGAAGTAACCTTCTTCTCATTTCCCGCTTCAGGCAAGTACCCTAGTTTAGTCTAGCTTCCCACCCTAATAACAATACATTTCCCGCTTCAGCCTAAGAAGCCACACAGGGACGTAAGCCTGAGTGAGGGCTGCCCACTATACGGTCTTACTGCCCCACTGCCATCCGGGCCGCTACCTCCGCCTCCCTCAAGCCGTCCCTGACAAGATGTATGCATGTTTTTCCCTGGGCTCCTCACATGTATGATGCACCTGTGATTGGTTGTAAGGATTGTATTTCCCACCCTTAACCATATATGTAGCCTCACTATTGTCATATCCGTGCATACCCGACCCCGACCCGACTTCCGGACCTCCACCCTCTTCACCTCCGGAGTCATAACCTACCGCTGCCGTTCCGATACTCACCTTTGGTCCTGGCAACACACCTCCTCCTTACCTCTCACCACCCTCCTACTACTCCGCTCCCCCTTCACAACACCTCCACCCTCCCGTTATCCTCCTACACTTCCCCCGTCTGCTCCGATACTCACCTTTGGACCTGACTACTCTCCTTTCCGCCACTCCTTCTTACCTTACCTGTCCCCTCTCTCCTCCCTCCGTTACTCCTCCGCCACCCTTCCGCCAAGTTACGACCTTCCACCGCTGTTCCGTACTTCGCACTCGGACACCGCTCGTACCTTACTCCGAGCCTCCGTCATAGTCCCCACCTCGGACTTTGACTCCACCTCGGCCTTAGTCCATTGCATTGGTGACCTCATACTACGTAAACACCATTGCCAATATTCCTCGGACTTCCAACCCCGCCTCCGTAACCTCCGTAAGCTCCGCAACCCCCAAGCTTCGCAGACCGCCTTCGGCGCTCTCGCCGCCTGTAATGTATTTCTCGCATTTTCCCTTCATCCCTATTTGGACTACTGCTTCTTTCTATTCTAGCCAGTTAGTCATCATCCCCACTTCCCCTCTGGGCCTCGCCCTCTCTACCTCCTTTCGGACGTATCACAGGTCTTGCCCTATGACCTTCGGTACCGCTCCGCTCCCTCTACCCTTTGTTCCTGTTTGGACGTCTTCGTTCCGATTCGGTCACCCTTTGTTCTCTTTGTGCTTTTGCCCCTTCCATTATATATATCGGCACTTGTACATACTCGTTTTGGTTTAGTCCGAAATCGACCTGAAATGCCCCCAAGAGACTTCCTGCTCACCTACTGTGAAATTAAGGACCAAATGGACAAACAGCAATGGCACAGCGCTCCACTTGAGTCGCTGAGGCCAAGGTCCCTCCACGCTAAGTCTCCGATTCCACTCCGGAGTCGTCCGTTTCCGCCCCATTCTAACAACTATGGCATGTACTGATGGACTGGGAGTGTGTCACGGCCCTGCAAAGTCCCCACCCCTCTACCACTTTCTGCACCCCCATTCTTGCGCCCGTTACTCGTGCCCGTTAATCTCGCCATTGCCCATCACTTAGTGGTGCCGATAGTGGTTCCCGTTCTATGGCCCTGTAGCAGCGCCTCCTTCGTTCTCCCACCACCACTTGAGTTCCTCAGCCATTCGGCCAATATTATATTCATTCACTTAACTAACTAGCAGTTGATATGGTTGCCGTTGATCCGCTCCTTATTGACATTTGATTTATGCATATATTGACATTCTGATCTGTGTGCCTAGATTGTCGGCCTATTCATTCTGCCTCCCAACTTCACCATCCTCTGTTCCATTCATTTCTTCTGTTCCATTTCCCTGGTCCTCATCGCTCTTTTAGTTCTGTCATACTTATCATCCTGCTCCCGTCCCGTGCTGGACTGGCCGGTCCCTTCTCTGTTCTCCTTTCGTATTTATACTTGTAGTTTACTGTCGATGTACCTTAGTTCGAATATCGACTAGAATTCCCCCCCAAGTACTCTCATCCTAAGTTCGCCTCTCAACTTCATCCCTGCTTAAGTCAACATCGCCACAAGGTCTTTCCCGCTAACATGAAATACGGGACAGCCTAGAACGCGTGGTGCAACGCTCTGGCCAAGTCATTGAAGCTGAAGTCCCAACCCCACGATGCCTTGCAACGGAGTAGCTCAATTAGCTAAGTGACTGTCAGGGCTCGGTCCTTGATCAGGGACAGCCCAACCTCAGTCCTAGGTGTGTGCGGTGTTCCGGGTGGTTGGGCGCTAGACCCTGTCCTCAGCTCCTCAAACTCACTGAAGGGACTAAGCGGGGATTGAGTTGTCATGTATTACAGAGGGTAACTACAACTTGCCTAAGCGGGGATTGAGTTGAGAAGAAGGGTAAGTTTCCCTATTCCCCGCTTGGCTACTATAAAAAGGAAGTGTACTGTACAGTTCATAACGTGACTCCGGGTAGAAGCCGAGCATGTTCCCGCGACTCGGAAAAGGTGTCACATGGGTTAAGGCGAGTTGCTCGCCTTAACCCACGTGATTTTTCCCGTGGGCTCACATGCGGGCTGAAGTTGTGAGAGGTATGTAGGGATGGGGAGGTCTGGGAAGTGGGGGAAGTCTGGGAAGGTGGTTCTGGGTGTGGTTGGGTGCCCTGACAGCGGGGTCAGGGGCCGATCCCTGACAGTGACCACTCACACCGCCGTACTCCGCTCCGCTTCCCGCGATCACCTCGAGTACAGTTTCTGACAGAGTGTGAGGCTACACCCGTGCTTAAACAAGCACACCAACATATTCAGCAGACACTTGCAGTTGTGGCACAAATATCAAAGTTCATATTTATTATTATAGAAATGGGTTTTTTCCATTTTTAGCCTCTTATGGGCTCTGTGGAGTACAGTATCCCATGCCATGTAAATAGTTAGTATCCAACAACTATCATCACACAAAACCTGACCCAACCATGTTATTGTAAACCCAGCTCTCACAACCTCTGCCACATTATCTGTAGAATCATCCCTATGCTGACCCCCTATGCTGCATGCAAAACCAATGGAAATGGACCAATTCAGCCCCACAGTTCTAACATTTATACAGACTCCTGTTGTCAAAGACTGGATTCGAAAGGGAGGTATGTATAAAGGCTTTTGGTTGGGTCCCCATGG